ATTCCTTTCCTCAGAGGCAGAAAGGCGAAAATGCTGAGTAAACCACCATAGGAAAGGCACTCAGTCCTATCCACATCCTTAAAACACAAATTAAAAAGAGATGGGAAGTAGCCTATTCCAGTTCTCAAAGACTATTCGAATGATGCTCACATGGCCCATGGTAGCTTGTTTAGTGCTTGCCTTCAAGGGCAGACAAGTAAAGCCGCCACTCAGATATGGCAAGCGTTTGAATCCCCCTTCTAAGCAAATGCAAGAAGCACTGTGAAGAAAGGTTTACTTTGTAACTAGTCCTTTTATTCAAGTGAAGATTCAAAAATACACTGAGACACAAATGTTGCTACCTAATAACTCACCTGTTATTAAACATAGTCCCTAGAAAGTAACTATTTATCAATTTATTTTTAAGTTATCTGAAACATTATGTGAGGTCAGAAAAAAATCTAGACAAAGAATGTTCTGTTGTCTTACCTTTATTTCTTGATCTTATAAACACACACACACACAAATAAGAAACTTCAAGTCTTTATGTCAGTGACTGGCGGCTTGTAGGTCTGAAGAAAAGTGTGAAAAACATCCATTTTCAAAAAGTTCTACTGGTTTTTTTCTTAGCAAGAGAGTTCCTTGGAGAAGATGTAAGAATTATCCCACTCATACAGTCTGGAAATAGTGAGTTATACCTGGAAAGAAAAAGAAAACCTTGGTATTTTGTAAAGAACCATTGGCATTGGAAAATGCATGGTCAAACCAGAGGAAAATCAAGCAAACTAACTCTATCCACAGAAGAAAACCCCCTGAAATGAGCAGTTTAGAGATGCTCTCTGGCCAGCCTCCTTGACAAGAAAAGCTTTGTGGTTAGGTTTAGTTGAAATGGTGAGTAAACCAGCTTCCTTTACAGGAATTTCCTGTGTAGAATTTTAACTAGCGCTCAACACCATTTCTCAACAGGGGAGTTCACTCTCTTCTTCCCCCTCTTTTCCCCTTTAAAACTAGAACCACCATCGTTGCCTTTGATTCCAAATCTACAGGCTTTCTTCTAATGAACTTTTAAGTGTCTGGCTCACCAATATCTCTTATAGGAAGCAACAGTTCATTGATAAAGACAGTGAAACAATTTTAAAATTGAGAGTCACTGAAACTATTTATGTACTTGCACATTAAAGGAAAACCTGGGAAAGCATAATTGAGAACAATTTAATTTGGGACAATTAGAACAATTTAGAGTACTAGTCACAAGGAATACTGTATAAAGCATCTTAATTAACCACATTGTCATCCTCCCTCAAGAGACCACTATCCCCACAAAGATAAAGCTGAAGCAGCCAAGCACAGCAAGGCATCGGGGTTATTTCCACACAAGACTAGAGAAGAGCTTAAAATACAGCAGCAAAGCTCATGCCAGAGTGAGTGCGGGGGAAGCAGAAGGCTTCAGGAGGAACTGGCAACTGAAGACAGGTCTAAGCCGTTGAAGACATGTGAACCTATCCTATCCAAAAGGATGCGAGATCTCCTTACAGCTGACTGCAATGTGCGACAGGTTCAGCAGAAAAGACGTGAGGGCACGTGAGCTAGAGGCAATAAATAAAAACCTAGAAGGGCTTGAAAGAGGAATGGTGAAAATAAAGACCAAATGAAAACAAGAGGGCATTGTTCACCACAGGTGTTTAATAAATGCTGAAGTCCATTCAAGATACCTGGGGCTTGGGGAGTGTCCTCATCAAGTCTCAGAGACCCTGACGTAGACCTTAGAGCTGAGTCTAAAGTTATTGTTGAGATGGTCTCCTAAAATAAATTTATCAACAGCTCTTTCCCGAAGTTTACCATAGCATTCATAAACTGCATTTAGAAGATGGAAGCAGGAAATCGTCGACAATGGGAGATTTGGGAAAGGTGAAGGGTTAGTCACTACAGGAAACTCAAACATGTTTAACACTTTGTACAATTCAAGCATTGTTGTGCTATTTTGTGGGTAGAAAACTGCCCCATGGAGCAGAAGAGACGATGCAGAGGCATCTAATAACATATGGAAAGTCGGTAAAAATAGAAAAGAACACCACAAATTAGATGACCTTTGATAAATGTAGTGTGCTTAGGGGTAGCCGTATGGAAAGCTATGCAAGGAATCTTTTCCTCACACCACACAACAGGCTGCATTCCAACTGGACTGGGATTTAAAGTGTGAAGAGGTGACTCTACACAGGTATTAGAATCGTGGTTTAATTTTCTATGATCTAGCCATAAATAAATCCAAAATTAAAGAAAAATGATAAAGGATAAACTCTGGAAAATCCTTGTCACTTACATCACAAAATCTTGTCGTCTCTATTGTGGCAAGATCTTCCAGCTGTGGAAATAAGATTAAACATCTCCAGAAACTTTGGACAGAAGGCAAAGGCCATATTCCTGTATGTTGCTATGTTGCTGTTAGGAATGAGAGAGCACAGTCTCTGTGGGAAGAAATAAGGCAATATTGACCAAAATCACATATGAGGGTTTGTTGACACGAACAATCCTGCATTTTGGACATGATCACAAAAAGTATTCAAGCAAAACAATATTTGAGGATGTGTTTAAATAATTGTCCTTCTTAATGTCACATTTGAAAGGAAAATACTAGAAACCCTTAGGACTGCTTGAATAAACAAAAGCGTAAGAGAGTTCCAGGTTCTTGCATGAAGTAGTGTTAACTAGTTTCATCTATAAGTTACTAAAATAGTTTTAAGAAAATTTAGTTGGAAAACTACCATTTATCTGTGAGAGATAGGAGATATAAATATTCACACATCTTTATTTATATTAAAATATGGAAATCTAAGTCAATGTCAATTTTTTAAATGTTTACTATCAGTTACAGAGTAAACAGGTAATGAAAAGAGGAAGGAAAGGTGAATTCTGATGGAATTTACTTGATAGATTTGCTCATAAAAGAATGCAAATATGTTTTCACTCAAAATAATTTTAAGAAACAACCCCTCCAAATAAAGAATGATGAATGAAGCCGGGCGGCAATGGCATATTCCTTTAATCCCAGCACTTGGGAGGCAGAGGCAGGTGGATCTCTGTAAGTTAGAGGCCAGCCTAGTCTACAAGAGCTAGTTCCAGGACAGGCTCCAAAGCTACAGAGAAACCCTGTCTCAAAACAAAACAACAACAACAAAAAATGATGAGTGAACCTAACTATATTGAGCCAACAGAAAAATATCAAATGACTGAGAACACAATGCTTGACTTTGTCTTTTAATAAAATATTCTCAAGGGGAAACCCTGTTAAAAAATTTCAAATTGCTTTTAATAAAAAAAACTATTGCTGAATTATTCAAGTTGAAGTATTAAAATTATTCTGAGGAAATTATATTCTGTACAGTAGAGGAAATTAATAATTATATTACTATCATCAAGAACTGGAATCTTCTGCCTGCAAATGATGCAAGTATAAAACAGATGATGAACTAAAACTTTCAGTCCATGAAATTGTCCTTTCAGTTTGATTCAAGATTCATATCTGTGTGTGTGTATGTCTGTCTGTCTGTGTCTGTGTCCGTGTCCTTGTTCTGACTACTTTAGAGAAATTTGATGAACTAAGCCTCACTAAACCTTAGGCTGGTTCGTGGACTCTGAATATAATTCTGCCCTGGAAAGAGATATGACTTCATAGAGATCTGTCTAAGAAAAAGGCTAAAGCCACTTAGGCCTGGAGCATCTTCTTAAGTCAGAAAACCACAGTAACAGAAAAAGCAAGTTGTTGGGGGCTGCAGACTCCTGGCCCCTTGATTTTCTTTGCCTGCCTCAGACCCTTTGCCTGCTGGAGTGAACTGAGCCAAACAACATGTTTACCTGTGCCTGCAGCTGCTCTGAGCACGAGACCCTCGTGAGTTCCTGATGGCAGGGGAGTGGATTCTGGTGGGTTTTACAGCTGGAATTCCCAAGAGCTGGGAACGTGGCTGTCAGTTAAGGGTCCCTATATAAGCTTCCCTGGAGCACACTAAAGCTGGCGTTCTTGTTTCAAGGATGACCCATGTCTTCATCTCTGTGTGTATGCTTTTAAATCTCCAGCCTAGTTCCCAGCTCGTGTGCCATTCCATAACAGCAAGTGATTGAAATTCAGCAGCAATACCAAAGGACAAACTGGAAAATGGCCTACGGTGGGTGGACAACTGGAGTGTCGGCGCATTATTGTTCATTTGTAAAATGCCGTGTGTAAACAAAGCACTCATTTCTTATGCTATATGCTGTAGTGTGCACAGTGATAAACCCTACTATAAAAAGATAGAGCAAAAATGAGCCCAAGATGCAGTGGGAGACAGGATATGCACGGGAGGCTATTTACATTTTGAATCTGGGTTTTAGAGAGCTGAATATTTGTTGCTATATATTTGAACCATTTTGTTTATTTTTTTTTTACTTATTTATTTTGATTTTTCAAGGCAGGGTTTCTCTGTATATCTTTGGAGTCTGTCCTGGAACTCACTCTGTAGACCAGGCTGGCCTTGAACTAACAGAGATCCACCTGCCTCTGCCTCCCAAGTGCTGGGGTTAAAGGCGTGTGCTATACCTCCCGGCTTGAACGGTTTTGTAATCAACATTTAATAAATAAAGGTAAAAGCTAAGTGCCTTCTGCTGCTCTTCTTTAACCTTAGTGTGCCATATTTTACTTTGCTAATTTCAGGATTTGGGTGAATTGCAGTAATTGGTGAATACAAAGAGAAACAATTTAGAAAATGTAACAGGCGTTTTCTCCTTTGGGCCACCAACCAATTTCCAGATCATGACACAGATTTATTAGTTAGGAATGTTTGGCTTTATCTTATGCTTGTACTACTGGCTCTTATTAACGTGTTTCTTTACATCTACATTTTGTCTCAGGGCTTTTTATCTTTCTTTCCTTCTATATGTCTTAATTTCACTGCTTCTTGTGTCTGACTGGCTGGTAGCTTCCTGACTTCTGGCCCGGAGCATGTCCCTCTCTTTCTCCCTCTTTGTCTCCTCCTCTCATTCTCTCCTATTTATTTTCTCTGCCCACCAGCTCGGCCAGTCTCTCTCCGCCCAGCTATTGGCCGTTCAGATGCTTATTAGAACAATCAGATGCCTTAGGCAGGCAAGGTGAAACAAATGCAGGACATCTTTATGTAATTAAACAAAGGCAGCATAAACAAATGTAACACATCTTTACATCTTCAGCAAAGGCAACAGAAACAAATGTGAGGGTGACTCAGGTAGTTAAATAGTCCACAGCATAAACAAATGTAACACATCTTTGTCCAGTTAAAATAACATCCCATGACAAGGAACAACTAATCTGCCTAGGCAGGTATTTCAGACAAGACATCATCCCTTGCCCAATCTTGTTGTGTGTTTGTCAAAGCCACAGCTTAGAATGCCCACGTGAAGGTGACTGGTGCAGCTGCCTTAACTAACAAGGATCTTCTGCTTTTCCTGGTGGTGGTATTCAGGTTGGTTTACAGGGAGGACTCTGCCAGCCTGCTGGCATGCCCAGCAAGAGATTAAAGATACAGACCACCACAGGGCTATGGCTCAGCATTCAAATCCTGAGGATTTGGGCGGGTGTTTTAAGAGTTTCTACTGCTTAACGGTCAGTGTTATTTAGATATCCACATTGAAGGAAAGGAATATTTCCCTCATCCAATGTATAGCAGCATAACCTCTTTCCTGTCAATCTCCAAACTAGTGTTAAAAGGCTTAACTGTCACTGTCTAAGATCCCTTTGCTTTCTTCAGCATGCAAGCACTTAGTACCTGGCAACGGGACCAAAAAATTAAGGTCTGTGTCTTTTTTAAGAAGCTTTTCCTTTGGAGTAACAAACTTAAAAATCAGTATAATGCCATCGGGTGCATAAATGATGTCCCCCTGTGACTTAAGGAGGAGCCTGGTCACCTTTCATCATGGAACAATGGTTTAACTACCATGTAATGTGCTTGCGTGGGTGAGCGTGTATAAGTGTAAGTTTGTGTATATGCGTGTGTATCGATACCTGTGTGTATAGGTGGTTAACATCAGGTGTCTTTTTCAATCAAAGTCAATTGACATGGTCATGATCCATTACTGAGCACACATACCAAGTTGTGGCAATTATATAAGTAAGTAATTGTGTTCTCTGAGTACACACAGCAGTCACAAGAGACACTAGAAATATATTACAAAGAAACATAGCTGTTGTCTGAAAGTTCCCAGCCCAGGCTCTGATTGCTATCACTGTGGCCTGCAGACACAGCAGGAAGGACCCTGATCCTTCCCACACAGAACACACATATACCATTTCCTGTTAGTTCTGTGACTTGGTCACTCTGAAGAGTCCCCCTCCCCCACTCTGCTCTGCTGCACGAAAGATCTCACACTCAGGGCCGTTTCTCCTTGAAAATATGACTTTCTCCAGCTTTGGTCTCTTCTGCAGAGCCACCCTTCAGGAGACCACAAAGGGTCCTCCTTTCCACTCTCTGCACTGGAACATTTAAAAGCACAGTTCAGCTTGGTTGTATTAATGTTCCCGTTCTGACACCGCGTCAGTGCCCTGCCCCTTCTCACCTTTTTTTCTCAGCACCTTGGCCAGCCCACCTAGCTAACCACGGAGCATCAGCGCTCTTCCCTCCCTGTGTCTTGGCGATGCTATCTATATATGGTCATGCCTCAGCCGAGGGTGTACTTGGGTCTGGCTTTGTCTCTTTGCTTGGGAAGCCTCCATCAGCTTATGTCCTTTCATTGTACAACTGGCTGTTTTATTTCAAGGCCAGAGCTTCTCCCTTCAAATTGAGAGGAATCCCAGCACTCGGGAGGCAGAGGCAGGCGGATCTCTGTGAGTTCGAGACCAGCCTGGTCTAAAAGAGCTAGTTCCAGGACAGGCTCCAAAGCTGCAGAGAAACCCTGTCTCGAAAAACCAAAAATAAAATAAAATAAAATAAAAGCAAAACAAATTGAGAGTAGTGTCCTGGCCACCCCTGATAAACGACAGATGGGAACCGAGTTAACCTTTAGGAGACAGAGCTATGTGACCTCTGGGTTAGACACTGTCTCCATTATGGAAAACTGGCGCCACCAAAGGGGACGCATGGGACTCCAGTATACACCTGGAGGTAGCAGGAGACAGTGGACAAATACAATGGTTTAATTACTAAGCTCTGATAATGAAGGTTGTAAAGTGTGGCAGTCAGTATCTAAGTTTAACCTTGAGATAGTGTGAAGAACTTTCTGCTATCTTCTAAGTTCTCAAACTAAGAACCAATTAATTCTAACTTATCAACCTTCTAGTATTACTAGCAGTCCCTTTTCTGACTATTGTTAAAGACATCTGTTTTCTTGCAATTAGTGAATTTTGCTGTAATCTACTCTGAAACATATTTCATGATAGCTGCCTAGTTACCCACTGAGGTTAGAACCTTCTCCCCTCCTATGTTGACTGACTCACAGGTCAAAGCAAGATCATAAAAATTCCTTTGTTCAGAGAAAATGCTTGGTGCCTCTACTACAAAAAGTGGGTTCAGAAACCAGTCTTTTTGGCCACAGCCTAACAAACACCATCTCTGGCTGTGGTCTCAGCTAGCTGATAAGCTTTTGTGCCCCACGGTGTTATTGTTGTTGTTTTTTTTTAATTTGATTTTTATTTTCTATTTTTAAGTTTGCTTCTGGTTTTCCTAGATCTTGTTTCTGGAATAAAGTTTGCTTCTGCTTTATTAGACTTGGTGGTGTTCCCATCTTTGTGCGACCCCCCTGGACCCAACACCCAGCATTCATGAGGCAAAGGCAGGCTGATCTCTGTGAGTTCTGAATTCAAGGCCAGACTGGTCTACAGAGCAAGTTCCAGGAGCAAGCAAGCCAGTGTTGCACAGAGAAACCCTGGGTTGGAAAAAGGGATGGCTGTAGGAGGGCCATGTTGAATTCCCTTTATCTTCTTAGAACAGGTGGGAATCTATGTTGAGAACGAGGGAGTGGAGTCTTAAATGAAAAGGAAGTCAGGAGACATTTCAAGTCTAATGAATGCATTAAGCAGATTTAATATAAAAATATATTTCATATGAAATAAATTTCATGTGTCAGAGCATGAGCAATAAAAAAATAAACTAAGTCATTTTATTTACCAGAACTCCCAAAGCAACAAAACTTCTGACTCTACATTTTCACGCATAAAACATAGGGCTTTTGTTGAATTTACTTTTTATTTTTTGTCAGCCAATTAGCACATGAAGGCTTGAGCTACAAAACTTACTTGAGAACCCCTATTCGTGTTTGTTTGTTTCTTTCTTTTAAAATCTACCATGTCTATTCTAAACAATCTCTGCTTCAGACTTTTCTGGAACATTTTTGCTGCACTCAGGCATTGCAAGCTTGCAAACACTCCCAATAGCCCACCTTTTGAACTCCCTCCCCTTTGAAACAGCTAATAAAAACAAGCAACCATTGTTTGTTTATTGTGGTTAGCTTTTATGATCCTACATATAAATATCTATATAAAGTCAACAAAAGCCTTAGGTCACTAACCCCGAGAGACCTACAGAGTTCTCTGAATTTAAATTTTTATCTGACATGGATGAAACAAAGGTGTTTAGGATTCTCTTTCAAAGGTCTTATGGAAGGTCTAAAGAAGAGGTAAGACATCTTGCCTAATGTCTCACTGAGCTTCCAAGAAATGCCAACTTGCAGCACTAATCTCATGCTGAAGCCAAGTCCCTGGAGTCTTCCCTCACCTTGTTTCCATGCGCCACACACAGCTCTTCCACCTACTCCTTCCACCTCCTAAGCCTAGTGGAGAACTAAGTACCCCTGAGAGGTAATAAAAACTTGTTCTGGGGCATCAATCAGTTTGTGTGTCTCGTCACCCACTTGCTGAATGTGGGGTTAGAGTACAGATAACTGTAGGGCCGTGGTTCTCAACCTTCCCAAAGCTGCAACCCTATAATGTAGTTCCTCATCTTGTGGTGACTTCCAACCATATCGTTATTTTCGATGCTACTTTATAACTCTCATTTTGCCACTGTTACGAATCATAATGTAAACATATTTGAACATAGAGGCTTGCTAAAGGGTTCAGGACCCACAGGTTGAGAACCATGCTCTCAGGGAAAGAAAGAATAACAGACTGATCTCTTGTGAGTCTCAAGGTCTCCTGGGAGTTCCAGCTCTGTTTCCTCTATGACAATCCAATGACAAATCTTGTCTTCTAACTGGGAGTGGAAGGGGATGAACACAAAATTCGGTATTTTGAACGACAGCCCCTGCTGTGATTAGGCACACACACAGTCTCCAGCAGGGTTTTTCTGTTCCTTCTGATGTGGAGCCTTGCTGAAGATCAAGGTGTTGAAAGAACGGGCAAAGCTTCGGATTCGTCTCTCCACGGCTTGATGGCCTTGGCGGGCATCAGGTAAAGAAGATTCTTCCAGAACCTCGAATTGTAAGGAAGCGATTTGTCAGCCTGCCATTTCAGAACCCTGCAGGGCTTCAGGAGCTTCAGGGACGGGGGCAGAAACGCGAAGCTGCCGGCCGGAGTAAACTCGATTAAGATGATCTTAATCTTCCTCTCCACCAGTGCTTCGTGGAGTCCGCTCTCCAGTTCAAGCCTGGTTTCATTGGTCAGGTAACTTTTGCTGAGGACGATGATTAGCCTCCGGCTCTTCTCTATCAGTGACTGGATCTCATCAAGGACAGCTGGAAAGGCAAGATACGGGTCAGTTCAGCCAACTACAGGGTGGGCACGGAGGAAAAGCTGTCACCACGCTCTTGTTTTACAGCGTCTAGCTTTCGGCTGCACTCACAAGGTTTTCGTTAAAATAAGCCAACTTTGTCTGTTGCAGGGAAAATAACCATCTAAATCGCAAGAATCGTGAGCATCCACTTTCGCCCTTACCGATGCTGTACTGATGGATGCTACACTATTTAAAATTTTGTGGAAAAAAAAATGACATTTGCGTTCTTCTTTCCTCTTCCTCCTCCTCCTTGTCCCCCGCCTTCTCCTCCTCATTCCCCTCCTTCTCCTATCCCTCCTTCTCCTCCTTTTCCTCCTCCTTCTTCCCTCACATTCCTCTCTCTCCTCCTCTTCATTAAGTTAACTTTTTAGCATGCGTATGTGCCACACCGGCACATGTGCTTGTGCATACGGAGGTCAGAGTTTGACACTGAGTATCCTGCTCAGTCGCCTTCCACTTTGTTTATTGACGCAAGGTCTCAAAAAGAGAGGCCTTTGTCTTTCCTCAGAGGTCAGATTTACGATGCAGAATAAAGGGGTCCCAGAGGAGAGGCTGGAGTTATTTTTTCAATGTCTATTTCTGTGGCAGTGAAAATCGGTGACGCAGACTGACGTGAGTAACGAATAACTAGCTGCCGACCGACTGGCCTCTGCTGCCCTAAAGGACTTTGGCCATTTGTACATTTTTAAAATAAAAAGATTAATCAACCATCTCATAGAAAATGATCTCCACTAACTGTCTGTCTGGGATTCCTTTCTTACCTCCACCGGGTACCACATCTCTTTCAAATATGCACAGCTTATAGCCAAATTGTTTCTCCAGGACCCCGGGTAGCGTCTCCACAGCGAAAGTGTGTTCTTCCCCATTTTCAGGCCGACACTCTTTCAGATATGAAACAAAGGCGTCGTATGTTTTGCCATCTAGAGGATAAGGTGGACTCTTTCAATTCATGATTAAGAAAAACATTTTAAGTAAAAACTTGTGTGAACGCCATATATAAAGAGGATAAAATTATTGGTTGTCAAATCTCAGCTGCATCCCAAGCAAACAATGTTCTGAACATCTATTTAAGCATTTGGTTTGAGACTCCCATCATGGAAAGGGGTGGGGGATAGTAATCAGGACATTGAGACATATGAAGACAATAAGATGCTAGGGACCCCCCAGAAGACCCTCGTTCCAGGATTAGGGAGTAAGTCACACTTTGGTTCATTCATTTCATTCAACTCCATCACACCACAATCTCGAGTGACCCTTAAAGAGTAAAGTCAAAACAAAGGAAAATAAAGCAAGACACACAAGTGAAACTGAGACCATACCCCAGAGAGTGGAAAAAATCATAAGGATGCTTAGAACAAGATGCTAACAATGGAAAAAGAGATTTAAAAGAGAGGATTGTGAAGTATACGGAAGAGTCTGCAATTGTAATTAAATCATAGTCTAAAACACACAAGCATGTGTGTATGTGTGCGCACACACACACACACACACCACACACCTAGGGTGCCAAATGTCAAAAGAGAAACCTATAATCCATCGAAAGCTTAACAGTGATCCTCAGATGTGCTCCCATCGAATTCTTTATGACAGAGAAGAATTTAGATGGCTGAGAGAACAATGAAGAAGACAACATGTCGCCTAGCTAACAAAGACAATTCCTTCTCCCCACTGGGTAACTGAAAATGCATGTGATATCCTTTTAGTTTCATGCAGTCTTTTGAGGAGACAGAGGAAACAAAGAGAACTTGGGATGAATTAAAAGCAGCAGAATAACAGATGAAAATCGTACGATGCAAACAGTGAAAGAGGAGGGACCACAGTGGTCATATTTACTGAACAAGGCACGTTTTGAGTGATGTCTTCACTAACACAGCTGGTGTAGAAGGGGAAGCAGGGTGTGGATGTGCAATGGTTTCATCCCTGTCACGAAAATTTAGTAGATGGCCAAGGAGTTGGATCTGTACTGACTGACTTGAAAGGTAGACATATTTGGTTCTTTGTACTGAAATAAGATGGGATGGAACAGCTCTGGTCTATGCTTTTACACGCCATGCCCAATGGCCCAGCCCTATTTCTTTATTCTCAAGTTCACAAGACAATGCTTTCTCTTCCTGGCAAAAGCTTGCTCAACTCTCCTCAAGTATTCTGCTCTGCCGATTTAAGTCAAGACCTATTGCTAAAGCAAATGTTTGTGCAGAATTGCATGAATTGCATGTATGAGAAAACGTTGATAAAGATTATAGAAACATATGCTCATCAAAGGTATCTTATTGTCTTTATATGCCTCCGAGTCCTGATTATGAGCCCCCAACCCTCTCCATGGTGAGAGTCTTATAGCAGATGCTTAAGTAGATGTTTAGAAAATTTCCCCCTTCCTAGCAGATATCCATTGCAATTAGCTTCTTGGTTAGGGATGGGAGTTCGTGTCCACTTCTCCTTCCCAGTGTTGTGTAGTTTGAACCTGTGCAGGTCTTATGTGTGCTATGGCAACGTCTGCGAGCTCATATGTTTAGATAGATCAGTCCTGTTATGCCTGGAAGGCATGAATGATTAAATCATATCTTTGATCCCTAATTAATGAAGCTATCATTATATAAATGGCTATTTAGAATAATAACGAGTCAGTTGGACCAATATATGTATTGCATTACCTGGTATGTTTTAATTCTCTTTGGCTGATTGGTTCTTTACATCTCTTTTTTTTTTTTTTTATAAACCAACACCAAGCATACACTTGGCTACCACAGTGCTATAACTATTAAAAAGTTTTATTTTCTAGATGCATCTTCATTTCTGCCATTGCCACAGATTGTACCTGTTTGCTTCACGTTGAGTGGAGTTTCTTAGGGCATGCTCCTGAATACTTCTGTGTACTGCCACGCTAACAGTTAAAAGCATGAATTGGGAAAAATGATTGGGGTTGAAAAGATGGCATAGGGTCTGTGAGTTCTTGTTGCTTTTGCTGAAAACCTGGGTTCGATTCCCAGCACTCCCATGGTGGTGACAACCATTTGGAATTCCAGTTCCAAGAAATCTGATGCCCTCTTCTGACTTCTGCAGGTGCTTGCACATATGAGGTGTGTGTTCAGACACTCGGGGACCCGCACATCAAACAAAACCAATGTATTTAAGCAATTTTCAAAAAAACAAAAAAGAATGCCCAAGTTGGGTCTAAAAATTTGACACAGGGAAAATAGTATGAAAAATCAGAAGGAAAAAGGTAACCTGAGGCCCATTCAAGTCCAAATGTTCATCTCTCTGAGCAGAGACCGTGAAAAAAAAAAAAAAAAAAAAAAAAAAAAAGAGCAGAGACCGTGCAAAAAAAAAAAAAAAAAAAAAAAAAACACAAAAAAAAAAACCACGTGGTTGCCTCGTATCTTTCCAAAGCAGGATCAGACACCCAAGCTGAGAGCCAACTTCCCTGTGCCTGATAACTGCTAATACTAAACATTGTAAGTGTGAAAAATGATGATGTCATTCTACTATAATCTAAGATAATAAAATAAATAAGTTTTTAAAATCCCAGAGAAGCAGATATGAGAATCATTTTGTATCATGAGGTTAAGGGGCGCTTTATATGTACAATGCCCAGACCAGATACTAAAAAAATAAAGATATATTTGGGTTTCCCACATAGGCACAGCACAACAAACAAAAACAATAGCAATATGGGGATATTTATCTTATATCATTATAGATACTAGACATAAATAGTGTAGTGTCTGCAAACAAGAAGAAAGCACGGTGACAGAATGGGCCAAGAGTGGATATGCTGAAAAAGGAGACACAAATAAATTTTAAATAAATGGAATGCTTGCTTGTGTTTTATTACATCATAAAATGAAATACAAATTAAAACTACCCAGCTTCAAACCCTCATCTATCAAACTGGCAGACATCCAAAAGTGTGGGTAACTAAACCAAGACTGTTTTTCTAAAGGCAACATGAAGTAAGAATCCATTTCAACAGTTTATTGGATGCAGTAGCCCATGGGGACCTTGTGGGACGCAGAGACACGGGCAGGACAGGAAAAGAGGTCTCCTGCTTTACATTTACAAATTTTGAGTTTAACCGTTATAAAGGTTGTTTTTTTTTCTATAAACACTCATAACACATACGCACATAAACAAAAGCAATGATTTAGCTTAACTTTTTAAGGACATAAATATCTTGAAATCTGGAGATTTCTTATCACTTTTGAAAACATTGAGACACATACCCCAAAAGACACAGTAGCAGCTAACAGCTGGTGGGTCTAGCAGACTAAACTTGAGATTATTTGGCTTCTAACCCAGAGTTCTTCCAGGTTGATTAAACAGCCTCCTTTTCCCAGTGAAAATAATGAGCAAGGATGACAGAAAATTCAATGAAAAAAAACTTTATTGAGTGTATAAAGTATGCAGCAGAGTGTGTGTGAACACAAACACATCAATAGCATAGGGTGTTTAGGAGGAGACAGCATACAGACATGAAACACCAAAAGAAAAACATCTGGAAAGTCACCAACAAGCACAAGACTGCACAACACCCATCATAGTGCTACATACAGAGTAACCCCTGACCCCAGCCTGGGAACCTCTTTTACAGAATATCAGCGATGTCATCAAAATTAGATGAAGATTATTGTTTTGGTTTTAGGCACAAAAACATAGACTAAGATCCCCCGGTTTCACAGTATGTTACCTGTTAATGTCTCATCTCTTTCTGCCAAGCGTCTATAGAACAGAACCAAGTCGACTTTATAAATGACACACAAAATCACCACACACACTACTGCCACAGAGATGAACACGGCCATGATGATTCCTCTCATAAAGACATGGCCCGGGATATCAGCCATTTCTGCAGGAAGAGAGAGAGAGAGGGAGAGAGAGAGGAGAGAGAGAGAGAGAGAGAGAGAGAGAGAGAGAGAGAGAGAGAGAGAGGAGAGAGAGAATCATAAATGAAAAGAAACATGGCCAGAATTTCCCATCATAACGTTGTGGTTGCCAGTTTTGCTTTTCACTCTGATTTGGTTATCTGTCTCCCCAAGTGCTTCCATAGGCCCCTAGTTCCCCACGCTCCTTCTGGTAGCCTGCAGTGGGGATCTTTCTATTTCTACTCCAACTTATAAATGTAGGCAGGGGCCGGGCGGTGGTGGCACATGCCTTTAATCCCAGCACTCGGGAGGCAGAGGCAGGTGGATCTCTGTGAGTTCGAGGCCAGCCTGGTCTAGAAGAGCTAGTTCCAGAACAGGAACCAAAGAGCTACGGAGAAACCCTGTCTTGAAAAAAATCCAAAAAAAAAAAAAAGAAAAAAAGAACAAAATATAGGCAGGGATACCCAGAGATGGGACATAAAAGCATGACCACTCAGCCCATCTGTATCTGTCGTATTTTATTTTCTGAAGCAATAATATGCTAGGGTGAGATGCAAAGGTCTCCAGCACGACCACATTGGTGGAATGAGCAAACAGTGCATGGTCTTCATCTGGGGAACACTGGAAAGAAAAGCCTGGGTTTCCAGTCTGACTCCATCAGATCCTTGCAGCTTCTCATTCCTAATATATTCATGCGCAGGTGAAAATAATGAATGAACCTAGTTGCTGATGAATGAGACACTCCACAGAGTGCTTCACAGTGCCTGGTACATAGCACTGGGGCTTTAGGAAAATTCTAGACAATATGTCCCTCAAGACAAGTCATATCCCTTGGATTGATTCAGTTTGTATTCACCATAGATAAACATGAAAGACCACAAAAGAGTAAAAAGAATCAAATAATTCTGAACAGCCATCCAAGGAGGCAGTGATGGCCACACAGCATCAAAGCCTTCTGGGGTGATAGGGGGTGGGAGTGGGGCTGGAGAAATGACTCAGCGTTTAAGGGTACTTGGTACCCTTGCAGAAGACCTGGAGGCTAACAACCATATATAACTCTAGTTCCAGGGGGGATCTGACTCCCCTTTCTGGCTCTAGGCTCACATATGGCATACATGTTTGCTGTTCATACACATAAACAAAAATAAATAAATCTTCTTTGACCTGAAATTTTATTATATGGTAATGCAATCACTTTATTTCCTCATGAGACCAACATCCTTTTACTGGTTCACAATATATGCCTTTATAATGATTCTAATATTTTATGTTTACACAATGCTGTAGTGATTATTTACATATACATCACCTTATTCCCTTTCTTCTTTTTTCTTTCTTTCTCTTTCTTTATTTCATTTTCCTTTTTGGCTTCTTTCCCAAGAAGAGATACTGATGATGTGGGGATTTCCACATCAGATAGTATGAGCATGACTAAAACTTCTGCCCTCTTCTGTAACATACTTTTAGAGATAGTTATTCCAGTAAGACCAGCCATTCCATTATATATGATATTAGGTGTATTTCAGAAAGTCATACCCCGGGGGTTCCTACAACATTGAACGATCTATGGATTCCTGATGCACCAGTCATAGGAAGATCCCACTCTCCAGGTGACATTTGTAAATTGAGAGAAGCAATGAGAGGCAGCTGCTTCTGGGGCAGGGACAGACTGGTCCTAAGGATGTGAGAGATGTCTGGGGATGAGCAGTGCCCAGGAAATACAAACATAACCAAAGTTGTAGGTTGGAGTGCCTCTACTTCACAAACACACAGACCACATAACTGGTGCTCACGTGACAAGAGGGGACAATGAAGGCAATCCCCATGAAGCGGAAGCATGTGGATCTAGGCCTACAAGCTGGAGGGCTTGTCACCTTCTCAGCTCTGGGATCTTAGATGGCTTTCTTTCTTTCTTTCTTTTTTGATTTATATTTATTATGTATATAGTGTTCTGCCTGCATGTGTCCTTGTAGGCATCAAATCTTATTACAGATGGCTGTGAGCCACCATGTGGTTGCTGGGAATTGAACTCAGGACCTCTGGAAGGGTAGTCAGTAATCTTAACCACTGAACCATCTCTCCAGCCCCTCTTCCTTCCTTCCTTCCTTCCTTCCTTCCTTCCTTCCTTCCTTCCTTCCTTCCTTCTTTCCTTCCTTCCTTCCTTCCTTTCTTAACATACCAATCCCAGTTCCCCCTCTCTCTTCTCCTCCCATTTCCCCTACCCCCCATCTTCTCCTCAGAGAGGGTAAGGCCTCCCCTGGGAAGTCATTAAAGTCTGTCCCATCATCTCCTGGAGGCACTGGATGGGTTTCTTCACCCAGGAAAGCTTGTTACAGAGACTGGGTGAAATCCCAGAGAGCTAGCAAAGGCTGTCAAGTCAAGAAGAGCAATGCATCTCTTACCTTTTCTCACCAACATGAAGCTTTTGGTGTCTGTGGCTTCCTCATTGGTCACCGTGCAATTGTATAAAACGTTGAGATTCGTTTCAGCAACATTCCGAAATCTCAGTTTTTTAAAGGCATGCAGTTTGCCCTCAGAAGTCCTGTAACGTAAGCAAACAGTTGATCAACAGGCTTTGTTCATGACCAGCAGATCTACTCAGGAGAATTTCTAAGTCTAAAATATTTTAAAAAAGCGTCAGCTGTGTCTTCCACTTCTGGTGTGAATTAAAATTAGCTAATTAGCTTCTCCACTCTTCCAAGGAGCAACAGAAATTACAGGATATCTCTCTCTCTCTCTCTCTCTCTCTCTCTCTCTCTCTCTCTCTCTCTTCCCCCCCTCCCCCATTTCTCTTTCCAAACTACTTGGACTTCATCCTACACCGTCACTTCCTCTAACCAAGACCATTCAGTTTTGTATTCTGAATCTTTCATTGCTATAAATGAATTCCTGGGCAGCTGGACTCGATGAAGAAAAGAAATTTGTTTAGCTCACAATCAAATGGCATAACCGAGGCTTTGGCAGGGTCCCTGAGTCACATCATATCATGGCAGCAGCATCTATGTACTTATGGATGGTCTCTCTCCCACGCTATAAAGCCATCAGTTCAGAATGCAATCACAGGGACTTCGCTGCTGTGGTGATTTGAATAAGAACTGCTCCTAAGGCACACATAATGGGCTCATAGATTTGAATAGTCAGTGGGTCACCTGGGAGTGGCACTATTTGAAAGGAGGTATGGCCTTGTGGAAGGAAGCATGTTATTGGGGGTGGGCTTTGAGGTTTCAAAGAGAATTCATTTCAAATCCAGAGTCTCTCTCTTTCTGCTGCCTGCAGATCCTGATGTAGAACTTCCAGCTACTTCTCCAGCACCATGTCTCCCTGTATGTCCTCATGATCCCTGCTATGAGAATGCAGGCTAAAGCTTTGAAATTGTAAGCAAGCCTCAAATAAATGTTTTTTTATATGTAATAGTTGCCGTGACCATGGTGTCTCTCCTCACAGCAATAGAACACCGACCAAGACATCTATCTAATGCAGTTAAACTTTGTTTTGAAGGACACATTTGGTTTAATCTTCCATTCTCAATACACTGGGGGTCAGACTCCTGTAGGAGTTCAGGATATGACATATCACATCTGAACTACATCAACTGCGTGTTGCTCGGTGGTTAAGAGAAAGGACTGCTCTTGCATAAGGTCTGAGCTTGATTATGGATGCCATTTGTGCTTTTGTGAAGCGTTAATAAGACCAAGGCACTTGACATAGTTTTCAAACTTCAAGAAACTATGGTTCCATTTGGTTGCTCTTTTAGAAGGAGCTTGGTGACTTAGAGCCTGACTAAGTAGTATCTTGGTAAAGTGATGTTAAAATTCCTCACCAACATTGTTATGAGCCTTCATTTTCAGGCTTAGATCCTTACAGTAAAAGTACGCGTGATCTGTCACCATGGGAATGATAATGATAAACAAATTATAATTACAGTTAAAGCTCAAACATCCCATCAGCCACCCAGAAGCCCAGCCTCTTGTCTGTTGTGTGCACACGTGAATTTCTATAGCATGCACACGGCATCTCTTACATGTATCATATGCATACCAGGTGGTCATGTTCGTGTCTTCTTGCACATTAGGGTTCGACCTGTCTTCTTTCCTGATGCTCCAATAAAACAGGTCGTTTTTATTCAGTAAAGCGGTGCAGTTAAGTTCCACCTCTTCGCCTAGGTAGAAATTGACAGTCTCAGTCTTGAATTTAGAAACTCGCTAGAGGTTTCAAATACAATCAGTGTGTGATAATTGAGTGTAAAATCGTACCACAACCAGAAAAAAATAAAAGTGGAAGAGAGGCTTCATATTAAAAAATACAATAAAGGGGAAGAATTATATAGCAATGACTAGTCATCACCAAGTAATGAACTGACTTCTATTTAAATATCCACTTTTAAATCAACTATTAAAAATTTTTAGGGGGGGTCAGTGCAATTTTTTCAATCTTCAATTTGGTAGACAGCGTCAAGCCAATGTCTCTCTTGAACTACTCGGAAAACAAAATAGGTTTACCAAATGAAGCAATTACAACAACAACGAAGAGGAAGAAGAAGAAGAAGAAGAAGAAGAAGAAGAAGAAGAAGAGGAAGAGGAAGAGGAAGAGGAAGAGGAAGAGGAAGAGGAAGAGGAAGAGGAAGAGGAAGAAGAAGATGTTGAAGCGCAGAGGAAAGAATGAGAAAGAAATGGTGAAATTGAAAATGTGGTTAGGAAAGGTCCTGTGCAGGTAAGTAACCATGAGCAGCCGTCTCAACTAGAAATAGCATCTTGGGGGTGTAATGAGCAGGAGTCTCATGAAGCAGAGAGTCCAGTCCATTGGGTCTGCTGGCAGCTGCACAGCTCACGGGAGTATCAGTTAGAGATTGGAGAACATGAGGCTGCAGAACTTGGTGATGTCTCCCACGGGCTCATGGACCACAGGAGAGCAAGCGGTGCTCTACCAGGATGTCGGAAACTTTCTCCATGCACCATTGCCGTACAGTCAAGACATTTTTGCAGTGACTTTAGCATATGTAAATTAGATATGTAAATAGATAGGAAATTAGACATTGACTGAAAATAAGACATGAGGAAATGTGTTTTAGCGATTTTTTTGTTATAGACATAATTTTATTCCTTATTAAGGACAAAAGCAAACCTGCATGCCAATGAGTGGGGCGGTTGCTTGGATTTTAGGTGAGGGATCACCTACTGGCTGAATGATTGGTAATTCACGATGTGGAACATCTTCAATGGTATTTAGACATGTTCAAATTATGATTTTATAACCATCAAAACTTAGACCACTTTACATAAATACGTAAAACAAAATGGCACAAGTATATTCAGGGTCATTTCGGAATTTCTATCCTGATCCCAAACTAAAATTCCTCTAACAGTTTTTTTTTTTTTTTTTTTTAAATAAAATTGAAGTCTGCAACTCCGAACAGCCAATTTTAAAACAAAACGCCGACACCATACAGTCCGAGGGTTCGGTGATTTGATACAAGTTGATACAAAAACGAAAGGATTTTTGTCTTCTGTCGTTAAACCATTGTTCTTCTATAGACAAGAAAGCTTCATATGCACAGTAAAGCGTGCACCTCCTAGCTAGCACACCCAAGTCTTGAACCTGCGATGAAGCGAATCAGTCTTTTCCCACAGGGGCACATGGGAAGAAGGTATGGCCAGTGTGAAGTGTGCGCGTGTGTGTTTGGAACTGAGGCGGCAGTGAGGTGGTCCAGGGCAGCTCTGGTGACTGCTCCTGGAGACACTGGACTTGGACATTTCTGGCGTTGTGTATGCAAAAACCTTTCACTTTCGCCAGATTTGTCATGACCCCCACGCTCTCTTACACAGTCCCCTACGTGGTCCCAACACTTTGAGAAGTTGTGTTCTAGCAGCAAAGGTCTGCTTCCAACATGACTGCGGTATTCTTGCCAGCCCTAGCTATTTAAATGCAAGGTGGATCAAATACAGCACATCTGCTCCCAGCCACCCCAGCTGAGTTCTGAGCAGGCTGAGATAATTATGAGTTCCTTGATCTGTGTGTCAGTTATCCAGTCCATACCGTGGAGACAGTATCCCTCTACCTTGGTTGGAGAATGTATCTCAAAAGTCCCAAATCGCTTAGCTCAATATCTGGCTTAGCATATGCAAATTTATTCCATTCCTTCTTTGCTTTTATTTTTGGAAAAAAGTTACCTAACTGTGCACATTAATTCTTAAGATCTCTCTAGACCAGTGGTTCTCAACCTGTGGGTTGTAACTCCTTTGGGCCATCCTACATATCAAATATTTACATCACGATTCACAACAAAAGCAAATTTAGAGTTAAAAAGTGGCATTGAAAATAGTTTTATAGTTGGTGGACTCACCACAACATGAGGAACTGAATTGAAGGGCCGTGGCATTAAAAGGGTTGAGAACCAATTGCCTAGACAAATCCTAAAAATATAGCCAGTTCTATCCATGGCCAAATCCTCAAATTACAGAACAATTTTGAATCTTATCTCCAGAGGTATTATCATCAACTTTTCATATTTTAAAAGGTCAATAGAGAAAATTAAAAAAAAAAACAAATGGCATGGCAGAGACCCTAGTCTACAAACCATAGATAGTTTCACTGGCTTTTAAACAATCAACTGGTCTAAAAGTGGCAAGAGTCAAACAGCGACGTGTTGTTCCTCATTGTGCAACAGTCTCAATTATGGCCCCACTTATAATTCAGAAAACACATGTTGTAAACCATACCTAGATCTACTTCAACAGTGTCGAACTTCCGTCCCAAAATAGCTGGAGTGATTTTGCTGTTCCCTGAAAGTAAAACAAAACCAAAACAGACATTGGAATTACCTTGAGCTTATCTAGGTAACTTGTAAACTGTATGCCGCTGTAAGTTTTCCATCCCACGCCATCCGAACTAGGACCTGAATTGTCCCCTTGTTCATGGTACTCCTGCATTATATACTACGAGTCCAGTCATCACGACATCGTGGTACTTGTGTTCCAGTAACGGCTATTTTATTTCATCATGACCACAAAGCACAAAAGTAGAGACATTGACAATTTGTGACAAGTAGTGACAAATTGCCCTAGCATATTTTGTTTTATGATTGTTGTTGTTAATCTCTTATTGTGTCTATTCTATAAACTAAATTTTACTACAGGCATGTATGTATACAGAAACAGCATATATCAGGTTTGGTCCTCTCATGGTACCAGGCACCCGCTAAGTCTTGACTTTTATCTGTGGGCAACGGCAGTCATTGCTATATATTTACTTGTGCCATACTTTTATTAACTGTTTTATTAACCCGGCTCAGATTACTGAAGCTTCATTTTCCTGGACTTATACGTTCACAGCACTGTTGAAAGCCAGTTCCATCTATCCTTTGAAGTCAAACATTGGCTTCTGCCCAGTGAAGCTGAAGTCAGAGAAACATGCTCGTCCAGGGAGACTACTGCCAGGTACTGAGAGGACCAAATGTTTAGGACATAGAAGGTGCACAATCACTAGGAAAAACCTTCCTGCTCTGTATCACTTCCCTTTGTCTGCCTTCCTCATTCTCTCACTGATGTATTTAACAGAATATAATAAGACTAAAAGGAGCCATGTGAGGCACCTCTCCCAGATACCAGTCTTACCCTTGAGGGTGTAGAGTCTTTAGTCATAACCATGCCCTGGAAGCCTTGCCTGACTCTGTCTGACCCTGCTTTTCAAACCTGTAGATCCAGAACTATTGCTCTTCCTAGTTATTTCTGGTTCTAACAAAAAGTATACAAGCATCTCCTTAGCTCCCTTACTTAGGAAGGAACGTTGTGCTCAGAAATGTACACATTTATTTGGAACATAGCATGAAGATCCTATACCTACTGATCTCCAGAGAAAGCAGGAAAGTTAAGTACACAGGATTATCTTCCCAATGGGGAAGATGAAAATCCTGTTCTTCCATCCCGAAAGTCAAGACCTAGAAATGATGAACAGCCTGGTGGTCTGTGTTATCTGTTGGGCTGGACCAGATCAAGTTCTTACAACCAAGACCAGAGGTGGCTAGTAATCTAAATGACCCTTGACAGTCAGAGGTTCCCCAGGCTCTCACAAACAGGACCAGAGCATGGCTAATAGCCCAAATGACCTCTATATATATGACCAAGACCAGACCAGACCAGATCTTTGGCCCTTAAGCTAGTACTGGTAGCACAGCTCTTGAAACCATCTTCTTGGAAAAAATGACATGAGTTGAGTTTCAATGTAATTACACTCCCTTGTGCAATGCGGATTGTATTACACCAGGAAACTTTCCCCCAAATCATACTGGGCTTAAATACACTGGGGAGGGGAGCCTGTTATTAAACACCCCAAAGACATCTGACCCAGGCTGATGAAGTCAATCTGCACCAGGTTTTCATCCTTATCTTTTTGTGAGGTTCACTTCCCTGTATGACACCTGCAGGGACCCCTGACACACTGTTACTGTGCCTGGCCTATAGCATCCGATAACCAGAGAGCACCAAAAGCCACCATTGGCCCATGGGCTGAGGGAACCCGAGGCAGCAAGAAGCTAGACAATCATTTGTCCAAGGTCACAACATCACAGAAACTATAAGAAAGAATGAATGAGAGGTTCCAACTAGAGCAAAAGGTGTCGTGTGTTAATGCTGAAGCGTCTTATCACTTCTTCAAGGAAGAAAAGGAAGAGTGGCAAAGATGGATAAGAAAAAGAATAGGGGAGAATACCAAGGAACTAGAAAGTACACAAATTGTATATGTTTATGTAGCATATGATGTATAAGTACATGCATGCAAACTGTGGTTGAAGAAATCAAGTGATCACAAATAGATTGCAGGGATTTTGGAGCTGAAAAATTCAGGTATGGGATTCCTAGGTTGTAGTTTTGGTTAGTTGTTACGGGAGTGGGTTCCTGATTAAAAGGGTAAGCCCAGCCCAGGTTTTCTGTCTCACACACAATCACTTACACTCAAGTTAAATGTGATGCAGCATGGAGATCTTCTTAGGGGTGGGGAGGCTGCTCAGCTGGTGGGAGTACTTAATGTTCTAATGTGGGACCTGGCTTTGAATCTCTAAAAGCATGACTGTATGTGTCTGTAACCCCAACACTTGGAGAAAGAGAAAGGCAGATCTCGAAAGCTCCCTGGCCAATTAGGCTACCCATATTAGTACTCTCCTTATTTGGCTAAGGATCCTGTCTCAAGACAAGGGGCATGGGGATAAGAGAAAGACATCCAATGTTCTGAACCACACAGTGCATAATAGATATACACTCACAGGTGGCCCCTTGGTCTAGGATTTTCCAGAACTGAGAGCCAAATAAACTTCTATGGTTTATAATTTGCTCAGTCTCTGGCACTCTGTTCTAGCAGAAGAATATGGTCAAAGAATTTTGTAGCTCTGATTGCTTAAGGACTTGGAGAAAGGGAAGTTGTCTTGCACTATCCCAGTTAAGCCGTTAATATGTCCTCATAAGAAAGTCAGACAAGTCAGACTCTGGGACATGCAGGTAAATGATGGGATGGTGGGAAAAGAAGAGAAAGAGGATGAGGAAGAGAAGGAGAAAAGGAAGAGCAGAAGGAGGAGGGGGAGAAGAAGAAAAATAATGAGAAGGAATAAAAGGAAAAAGACTGGCAGACAGTGTGTTTTTTGTTCTAAAGATGAAGTATAATATAGACAGTCTCCAGATATTGACAGATGGTAGAGAAATATCTTCTCCCCCATACTGTCCAAAACTATACAATGCTGCTTGAACCCTTGACTCCAGCCCAGTGAACTTATTCAGACACGTGACCTCCAGAACTCTAAGTCTAGATTTTTCAGGATACTAAGTCTTGGCATGTGCTACAAACACAGCACACGGGCAGCAATGTAAGCATCAGGTGAAGTGCGGAAGAAAGATACCATAGAGTAGATGTGTTGGAGCAATCTGGTCAAATGTCATCCACATAGGCTTTCTGGAATGATGGTGGAGAAAGTCAAGGTCATACCACAGATCTTCAAACAACTGGAGGAACTTTCACATAGGAAGGGGACAGACATTCTGCGAAGGTTTTGAAAGCCAATGAAGAGCAGTCAGTAAAAGCTAAAGAAGACAAAACAGACTCTCGGGTATTGAAATCTGTACTTGGCTGCGTTGTGATTTGGAATTTCCCTGTAAGTTCCCAAGAAGGTACTGATGTTGAGTTATATTGACTGTGCCATCTGAAGGATATCTCCGGTGGGGTGTGGTTCAATTAAATTACCTCACAGGTCACTGTCACAATAGAATTCTAGGCCTGTTTGGCCTCGGGGCTCAGGGCAATTCATGCATGCAAAGACTCCCCCTCCAACTGGCACTCTGGGACCTGGCTTTGCCACTCGGGCTGCTGTGCTCTGTGTGTGCTCTGCCCCTTCCTGACACTGTCCCTCCAAGATGCACATCTGGCAAAGCCTTTAACATTTGTCTTTTTTTTTTCCACTACACGTCACATCCTTCAGCCTCTCTGACAACCTCTCACACAGCTCAGCGTTCCTGCTAGTGCCCCCTACAGACCCTTACGAAACTCCCTGAGAACTCTGTATTCTTCGCTGTAGCGCGTTCTCTCGTGTCCTCTGCCTCTCAACACTCAGTACAGCTTCTTGAACAGAGCCACCGATAAATATTTGTGACCGCAATAAATATTTGCTCAAAGCAAAAATGGAAGCCTAACAAGATTCTACAGTTTACGCAGTGTCTAAACAAGAACAGGCTGACTTAAGAGGTTCGCTCATGAACTTTCCTCTACGGCTAAGAATGTCTGGTTTTAGTCAGTTTGATGGGAGCCCAAGATAAAGGTTTTAAACCTAAGATTTGAAGTAGGTATATGTTCTGTTGGGGGATATTCGATCACACTGTGAGTCCTGAATTTGCATTTGAGTTAATTAAATAAAATTAACTTTGGGACAGGAGGACGCATTAGCAATTAGTTGACAGCAAGTCATTATAGAGCCTTAGAGGGCATCTGGGAGAGGGAGAGGGAGAGAGAGAGAGAGAGAGAGAGAGAGAGAGAGAGAGAGAGAGGAAGTAGTAGAGTGGGTTTGGGATGACATAGGTTTTTCTGGTTTGGCAAAGTGGAAGGAAGGGTCTTCACTAGATGCCAACAAGGACAGACGGCAAGATAATTGCTCCTGAGCCTCTGTGAGCTCGCAGGTTTTCACCCGAGCTCTTGACTCTCTAGTGATATTCATAATTAGAATGATAGAGATTTAGTTATAGCTACCTTTTAGTGGCAGCGACTCAGC